CCAGAGCACTCTGCCTTATTAAGGAGCTACAGCATTTTCCTTCTTCAGGAATCACAAAACACGCCTTTTGTCCAAAGACATTTTCCGTTCCTGGCGCTCTCCTAACGGCCAGGTTGCGGGGAAGCCTTCTGGTGGCGTCTGCCCATCCCTATCATGAAGCTTCAGACTTGGGACATACTAACAGTTGAATTAAGATGACAAAAATTGTATGACCTATCAATTGATTGAAATCATGAAAATTGTTTAAGATTTGAAAAGCGGTTTTGCATTACTGACTCTTTTAGTAACTGGTTTAACCTTAGACGCCCCTGCTGTACAAGAGGGTGTAGAAAGTCTCAAACTCGCCCTGACTTTCCTGCTCAGCATTTTACAGGGTCCGCTGTGAAATCGAAACATCATTGAAAGTTAAAAAGATCCTTCCAGGATTCACCTTAGTATGTTAGAAGATATGCGCCCCTATATAAAGGAGCGTCTGCATCCATAACCCAGTCTCTCACCCAGCGAGATGCAGATGCATTCATCCAAATGGCAAAATAACTGAGCCAAAAATTTCATCGTTTATTTGATGAAATGATAGTCATTTGTTTGAATATGTCTGTTATAACCTCCATAAAACATGATTTATCAGCAACTAGGACGATGGTACCAGATGCAGCGTTTGACTCGGACGGCAGGCCACTGGGGCAGGTCGCGCCAGCGCTGGGCACAACCACCGTGTGCTGTCAGTGCGGCCCGAGCTCCCTCACAAGGCCACCTGGTGCACAGCAGCAGCCCCCTTGCTTCCCTGCCCTCGCTCAGCCCTCGGTGACCCCTGGTCGACCGTATGCCTCAGCCGGTCTGCCTGTGCTGGACTTCTCCCAGGAGTGGAAGCTCACGCCGTGTGGCCTTCTGTGTCTGGCTTCGTTTGCTCAGCAGACACTTTCCAGGTTCACCCGCACTGCCGCGTGTCTCAGTACCTGACTGCTTTCTATTGCGGGGGATACTCCGTCGTGTGGATAGACCACATTTCATTTCCATCTCAGTTGAAGGACATTAGTGTAGGTTTTCCTGTTTCTGTTTGGAAGAATGCTGCTGTGAGCAAGGTTCTAGCCAGGGCGGGTAGGCAAGAAGAAAAAGGCATCCGTGCTATAAAGGGGAGTGAAGCTAGTTGTGTGTGACATGGTCTTCAAACAGAAAATCATAAGGAGGGGTGCCTGGGTGACTCAGTCATTAAGCGTCTGCCTTTGGCTCAGGTCATGGTCCCGGGGTCCTGGGATCAAGCCCCTGCTCCCCAGGAAGCCTGCTTCTCCCTCTCCCACTCCCCCTGCTTGTGTTACCTCTCTCACTGTGTCTCTCTCTGTCAAATAAATAAAATCTTTAAAAACAGAAAATCATAAGGAATCCCCTAAAAGCTGTTAGAAGCAATAAATGAATTTAGTAAGGTTTGAGATACAAGATGAATATACAAAAATGAATTGTATTTCTATATGCTAGCAACGAACTACCCAAAAATAGAATTAAGAACACAATTCTGTTTATGATGGCATCAAAAAAATAAAATCAGTATTTTATAGTGTTAAGATGGCAATAGGATTCCCCAAATTGATTTACAGATTCTCCATGATTCCTCTCAACATCCCAGCTGCCTTCTTTGGAGAAATTGACAAGCTGATCCTAGAATTCCTGTGGAAATGCAGGGAGGGTGGGCGCCCAGAGTGGTGTAAACAATCTTGGGACAAGAGCAAATGGAAGGACTCCACAGTTCCCCATCCCAGAACCTGCCACCAGGCTGCAGGGATCCAGACAGGATGGTGCTGGTGTGAGGACAGACCTTGAGATCGAGGGGGTGGCATCCACAGTCCGGACATCAGTCCCTAGCTGGACACTCAGACGACTTCCAATAAGGCTGCCAGGACGGTGTGCCGGGAGGAACTAAAGCCTGACGCTGCCGGTCGACTGGATTCCAGCACGGGTGCCACCATCCTCACTGGGGAGGACCAGCCCCTTCAACTGACAGGCAGGGAGAGCAGGACGTCCACATACAGAAGAATGAAGGGGGACCCCTACCTCACACCACACACAAAAACTAGCTCCAGATGGATCACAGACCTAAATTTAAGACCTAAAATGATCATTTTTTTAAACTGAGTTTTCAGAAACTACTCTAAACTTGTCTTTTGTTTCATTCTCTTTGGCTCCAATAAGCACCAGAATAAAGAACTTCTAGGTATCTATCTTAATAAAAAGCTTTATAGGGCACCTGGGTGGCTCAGTTGGTTAAGCGACTGCCTTCAGCTCAAGTCATGATCCTGGAGTCCCGGGATCGAGTCCCACATCGGGCTCCCTGCTCAGCGGGGAGTCTGCTTCTCCCTCTGACCTTCCTTCCTCTCATGCTCTCTCTCTACCATTCGCTCTCAATAAATAAATAAATAAATAAAAAATCTTTATTAAAAAAAAAATAAAAAGCTTTATAAACATAACCCAAAAAATAAAATAAAAAATAAATGTAAACAAAGCCCAAAAGAAGAAAGAAATAGTTTAAATCTGGATATGTTATCTTTTAATTATTTTAAACTAAATTTTTAAATGCAACAGTGTATTTACTATTTTAGCATGTGCTTG